CAGATGAATCTTTTTCTCTTTCCTGATCTTCTTTAATTGTGGTAAGATACACATAATAAAACATTCACCATTTTAACACCATTTAAATGCACAGTTCAGCAGCATTAGGTACATTCATGTTGTTGTTCAAACATCACCACCATTTAACTCCAGAACTTTCCATCTTGCAAAATCCAAACTCTTTACTTCTAAAATGGTAACCCCATTCCTCTCCACCCTGCAGCACCTGGCAACTTACCATTTTTTTTTTTTAAGATTTTATTTATTTGACAGAGAGAGATACAGTGAGAGAGGAAACAAAAGGAGGGAGAGTGGGAGAGGGAGAGGCAGGCTTCCCATCGAGCAGGGAGCTGGATGTGGGACTCAATCCCAGGACCGTGGGATCATGACCTGAGCTGAAGGCAGACGCTTAACAACTGAGCCATCCTGGTACCCCGCAACTTACCATTCTATTCTGTCTCTATGAATCTGACTACCCTAAGTATCTCATATAAGTGGACTCATATTGTATTTGTTCTTATGTGCCTGACTTATTTCACTTAACAATGTCTTCAAGATTCGTCTGTACTGTAGCATGTATCAGAATTTCCTTCTTTTTAAAAAAAAAAATTGTGGTAAAACCTGTAATACAACACTGATCATCTTAACGAGTTTTTCAGTGTACAGCAGTGTTAACTATATGAACACTGTTGTCCCAACAGATCTCTAGCATTTTTTTCTTTTTTTAAAGATTTCATTTATTTGTCAGAGAAAGAGAGTGCACACGCGCAAGCAGAGAGAAGGGCAAAGGCAGAGGGAGAAGCAAGCTCCCCACGGAGCAAGAAGCCTGATGCGGGATTCGATCCCGGGGCTCTGGGATCATGAACTGAGCCAAAAGCAGATGCTTAGCCGACTGAGCTGCCCAGGCATCCCTAGAATTTTTTCATCTTGCAAATGAGATTCTATAGCCAGTGGAAACCATCGCCCTATCTTTCTATGATTGGCTTATTTCACCTAAAATAATGACTTCAGGTTTCATCTGTATTGTAGCATATGACATAATTCCCTTGTTTTTCAAGGCTAATATTCCGTGGTGGGTATATACCATGTTCTCCTTATCCATTCATTCATCATTGGACGTTTAGGTTGCTCCCATCTCTCGGCTATTACGAATAACGCTACGATGAACATGAGTTTGCAAATATCTCTCTGAAATCCTGTCATCAATTCTTTTGGCTATATACATACACCCAGGGATTTCTGGGTCATATGGTAATCTACTTTCTAAAAGACGATTTTTTTGGAGCAGTCTTAAGGTTCGCAACAAAATTGAGAGGAAGGTACAAAGGCTTCCCACATACCTCCTGCCCCCCCCAACAGGCATAGACTCCTCCATTATAACACTCCCACCAGAGTGGTCCATTTTATACAACTGATGAGCCTACACTGACACATCATAATCACCCAAAGTCCACAGTCCTATTGGCATGGACAAATGTAAAAATAACATGAATCCATCATTACAGTATCATACGAATTATTTTCACTGCCCTAAGAAATCCTCTGTGGTAATTCTATTTTTTAATTTTTTAAGGAAGCTCCAAACTCTTTTCCATAGAGGACATACAATTCTGTATTCCTGCCAATGATGCACAAAGATTCTCATATATTCATAACTTCACCAATATTTGTTATTTTCTGTTTTGTGTTTTTCTCTAAAGAAGCTGTCCTAATTGGTGTAAGGCGGTAGGTATCTCACTGGTTTTTGTGTGCATTTCCCGTATGACTAGTAGATTGAGCATCTTTTCATGTCCTTATTATTGGCCCATGATGTATCATCTTTGAAGAAATGTCTATTCAAGTCCTTTGGCCATTTTTTAATTGGGTTGTTGTTTTTGTTGTTGAGTTGTAGGAATTCTTCATATAGTATGGGCATTAACCCTTTATCAGATATATGATTTGAATATCTTTTTTCTCCTATACCATGGGTTACCTTCTCATTCTGCTGTGTCCTTGGATGCACAGAAGTTTTAAATTTTGATGCAGTCTAATTTATCTATTCTTTTTCCTTTGTTGACTGTGCTTTTGGTTCATATCCAAGAAATTATTGCCAATGTAATGTCATGAAGTTTCCCCCTATGTTTTCTTCTAAGAGCTTTATAATTTGCTCTTGCATTCCACTCTGTCATGGATTTTGAACAATTGTCTCTTAGAGGTTTGGAAATTTCCCACATAAACTTAAAATCATCTACTCCTTCCAAATCAATATGCATCTCAAATGATGGAAAGACAAAAGGGTAAGAAAGAATGTAAAAAACAGACAAAGAATTCTCTCAGTGGCAAAAATAATGTTGGAATTAAATCTTACCAGGTCCATATTAGGTCACCAATCCAAAGAACAATACAGATTTTTTTGTTATTGTTGAGAAATTCAGGATTTTCAACTTAGGGTTGCTATTAAAATAAAAGTATTTAGGTCCCTCCACCAAAGGCTCCCTTCTCTATTATAATTTAATAGTTTTTCTATTGCCTTTTAAAATATTTATCTTCTCTATCCTCCACTGCTGTGCTTCTTGACGCTGCCATTATTAATACTTTTTTTAATGCCTAACATGTTGACTTATTTTGCAAACAGCTGCCTCAAAAGCCTAAGGGTACCTGTGTAGTTGGGCACCAATTTAAGAAGTCTGTTTTCTGGAATAATATTTATTCATTAATATTCTTGAACACCTGCTTTGTGTAAGACACTGTGAAAAAAACCAAGCTGTAAAACTCACCAAAAAGGTCTTATAAACTGGCCATAATAAGCCATACTCAGTATCATAATCACTTAGAAGGATAATGGCCTGGAAATAAACATACCAGCAGGGCAGCATGGGCATTTCTCCCCAGTGGGTCATCACAGCAGGCAATACAGTCGACAAGGAACTAACTCTCTTCTGGCCCTCCAGATGACATGTCAGGTTCAAGGGACCAAGACTCACATCCAGTGGGTTCAAGAAGACATGTTAGAAGATAGTTTGACACTAGATCCTAGCTTTGAATGCCAAGGTAAGGCATACAGTGTTTTATTTTTTTTACCTCTGAGTAAATATTATTTTACTTATTTCTGAGTAAGGGATTAATAGGATTGAAGCTCTAGCAACATTAATACAGCAGTATGTAAGGAGCTAGAAGTAGAGAGACTGTAGGCAGGAAGACTATCACATTCCTTTGGGGGAACAACATTAATAGTAGTAATGTAACAGCAGTTTTATATAAATAAATATATATGTGTGCGTGTGTGTGTGTGTGTATTTATATATATATATATATTTAGCAATTTACTAGTTGCCAGATATTCTTCTAAGCATTTTTCATGTATGAGGTCCTTGTAACAACCTATGAAATAGTTTTCGTACAAATATTATCTGCTTCTCAAATAGGGAAACTGAGGCATCTAGTGATCAAGTATCCTACCCAGGATCTCGTGGCTACTAAGTGGTAGTACCAACATCTGAACCGAGATAATCTGGTTCCAGAGACTATACTCTTAACAACTCGACACCATCATCTTCCAGAGTGTACTGTGTATGCTCACACTGTCTCAGATTTTAGAAAAACCCAAAAGGGATAATTCATTTCTCCCTAAGAAACCTGATAATGACAGGGCTGACAGTTCTAGTATTAGACTTAGCAAATCAATACAGATAAGGATATCATGTGGGAATAAAAAATGAGATCTTGAAGGGTAGTCGGTACCTCTTTATTTAACGCCCACCAAGTGCCAAGGATTCATGCATCATCTTATTTAATCCTCACAACCACCTATGAAGGAGGCATTGTATTTAATTCATTTTTTTTTCAGACGAGGAAATCTAGTTCAGAAAGGCTATACCTTCGGTCCCTCATTACAGAGCCAGTTAGTGGGGCAGCAGAATTAGAATCCAGAGTCACATGCTCTTCCCACTACCTCACGCCGAGGGCATGAAATGACAGGACAAGAATATGGCCAGTCTGGAAGGATGCTGTCCTTCTGCCCTCAAAAGGCCAGCAACAAGGGAAGACTCTGGAGCCATGCAGAGGTGTGTGTGCAGCTATATTCCCAGGCTGTCTCTTTACCCAGCTAGAAGTTATACTGATGGATGCATGAGTTAGCCCTTGTTCTGAGGAACCAGAACTAGCCTGTAAATTCAGGCAGGGCTAAAAGTCAGCTCTGGGGATTCCAACACACAAAATGCAACGTAAAGCCTCATGGAAGTTCGAAAACACAGGCTAGAAGTTTGTGACCCTCCACGAAGACAGGTTAAAAATAAAATTATCTGAAGAGAACTGAAGATAGCACGTGAAAGTGAGTAACCCAAGGGAACAGAGTCAGAGCTAAGGAAACTATGTTTGTTTTCTCAGCTAATCCCCATATGTTTAATCTCAAAGTTTCTCAAAACCCTACCCTTAGAAAAATCCTTATGAGACAATATTAAATTTAAAAAAGCAAAACACACTAACACACTTGAAAGATGGTGGAATTTTGGGTTTTACTTCATTTTCCTTTTCCTGAATTTTTCAAATTTCTCATACTAGACATGTATTACATTGTTCTTCCAGGGATAAAAATAAAGTATACTAATTGAAATACTTTTAAGCAATACTTAGGAAGAGAAAAAGAAAAAACCCAATTTCATGAAGAGTAGTTTAGTAATTCCTAAATGCGCAAAGACACTCCATCAAAATCACCTGAGACATTTGTAAAATAACAAAAAACCAAAACAAAAAAACCAAGAAGAAACCAAATTTCCAGAACCCAAAGACCTACTCAGTCAGAATTTCCCTGGGCTGAACCTAGGCATCTGGAGTTTTAACAAGCTCCCCAGGTGACTATCATCTTTTTCATCAAGGAAGTCCAAAAGCAGTTTCAATTCTCTTTCTCTTTTTAAGGCTCTTTGATATTTCTTTAACACCAGTTAGACTGGAAGGCAAACACACAATATTTAACAGTGAGAGCAAGTGACCAGGGTGAGGACTCGGATGGCCTCATGTCTCACCATTCATCTCTGCAAACTTCTGAACATCACTTAGGGTTTTCAGTTCTTGTCTTGGACATGCTGTCACACACAGTGCTATAGACTTGATCTTCCGGTTTATCAAGTCCAGATTGCATGGATCCAAAAAGAACACATACCTAAAGCATGGACAAAAATATTGAGACGTTATTTCACAAGAACACATTCTGGTTCGCTGCCTAATTTGACTACGCCTAAAAGCAAAGAACATCTGTGCTAGTCTATACTCCTTCACAAATTTTATCAAAGATGAACAGATCTAATCACAGATTTTCTTTTTAGTCAATTGTTTGTAAATATACCATTAACAGTAGGGACTGGAGGAAATGTTTGTCATGATGTATTTTTCCAATATTTAAATTTTTGTAATGTATACTTTATCATTAGAAGTTATTTTTTAAAATAAGTAGTTTTATTTTTTGCCGAACTTGTGCCTTCAGAATCTCCCAAGACTGCTATATAACATAAATTGTAGTTTCTATATAAACTTATGTAATAAAAATAATTATATACAAAATATAAATTTATAAAAACAGATATATAAACTTTTATTAATGAATATATAATTATAAAAATGAATTGTAAAATTATATAAAATTGAACATAAAAAGTTGAATGGAGGCTTGAAGGAAATACACCAACAATTTAACTGCAGTCACCTCTGGATGTTAGAATAAAGTGATTTTAATCTCTTTCTTCCACTTTTCAGAAGTCTCATTTTCTAGAAAATGTAAATGACTTTTGAATTGAGAAAACTACAGTTGATATTGTTTATTAGAAGGTCCATTACATTTCAACAAAGTAATGCCCAAAACTTAAATTATCCCTTCTGTATTCTGTACATTTATATTTTCTAAAAGGAAAGATCCATCAGAAATTACACTGAAACAGATCTTTTTTTTATTTTTTTTTAAAGATTTTATTTATTTATTTGACAGAGAGAGATCACAAGTAGGCAGAGAGGCAGGCAGAGAGAGAGGAGGAAGCAGGCTCCCTGCTGAGCAGAAAGCCCGATGCGGGGCTCGATCCCAGGACCCTGAGATCATGACCTGAGCCGAAGGCAGTGGCTTAACCCACTGAGCCACCCAGGCGCCCCAACAGATTTTTTTTTTTAAATGTTAAAAAGTAGGGTGGTTCAGTCGGTTAAGCATCTGCCCTTGGCTCAGGTCATGATTCCTGGATCCTGGGATCAAGCCCCACATGGGGCTCCCTATTCAGCGGGGAGCCTCCTTTTCTCCTGCCTGCCATTCCCCCTGCTTGTGCTCTCTCTCTCTCTGTCAAATAAATAAATAAATAAATAAATATTCATATGTATGTATGTATGTTAAAAAAGCGGAAGAGATGACAAAGACTGTAGATGTTGTTATCATCTGCCCAAAAAGAAAGTAAGAGCCAAATACTCTTATTTGAGAAAAGCAAAGTCTAATGTGGAGCAACAGAGGGGGTACAAGTAGGAATGCCTTCATGTCAGAAAGGAGTTAAAGAGCCTCCAGCACTGGTTTCCATGCTACTGGGTCCAAGGAAGGTTTTATGAAATCATCTATTTGCCAACAGCCTTTCCCACATTGTTAAACTCTGTTTGCTTTGCTATATAAAATAGGATTCAAATCAGGAAGTAAAACCAAATAGAAGAACCAGGTGAGAAAACTGAAAAGCAAAAATATCAGGGGCCCTGGCTGGCTCAGCTGGTGGAGCGTCTGCCTTTGGCTCAGGTCATGATCCCAGGGTCCTGGGATTGAGCCCCATGTTGGGCTCCTTCCTCGGTGGGGAGCCTGCTTTTCCTTCTGCTGCTCTCCACTGCTCATGTGCTCTCTCTCTCGCTCTCTCTCTGACTCCCTCTCAAATAAATAAGAAAAATCTTAAAAAAAAAAAAAAAGAAAGAAAAAATATCAAGTCAATACATACATTGGGACAGACAATATTAAAGGATACCAGAAAATAATTAAATATTAAAAGAAAAAAGTGTATATGTTGGGGGAGGGGGACCTGAGAGGCCTTTGCATGTGGAGTAATATTGCACACAGCAGGGATCAGGGACCAGGAACCCGCACAAAGGTCAAGGATCAGCTATAAACCACCAAACTAAAAAAATAAAAAAGAATATTTTGTGACTGGGCTAGTGGCCCCAATATCATTTATGTTCTACATAGATAAAAGGAAAGAAAGAAGCCAAGCAGAAAGGTGTTATTTGGCAGTGGAATTCAAGACTGCTCCTGTGCCTGATGGTTGGGAAGGAGCGCAAGGAGAAAACTTTCTGACCACCTTTGTATAGAAGCGAGTGCTCCCTTACTGATTCCCCCTCTATCTGTCCTGTGTCTGGGGGTGAGTATGTCCTGCCTGGGGCTCTGTGCAAGGAACAGCAGGAAACACACAGGTCCTTGAGGAAGGTGTCATAAAAACTTGGGAATCATTAACTACCACCACCATGGATACTGTCAGCAATACCCATAAAAATAATGGCAGTCAACATTTATTGAGTACTTACTACGTACCAGATGCCGTATTCATAAACCTTTTACACACATCAACTCCCTTATCGCACAATCCTCACAACAATCCCGTCATCTGTTTTTGTTGGGGTGGGGGGGGTGGGCAGTGGAGTTGGGGTGGGGAGAGGAGTTAAATGCACAGTTCTAAGCGATGAGCAAAGCCTGCAGAAATACCTGGAAAAATCACATGACAACAGAAAAAACGGGCCTGGGGAAAAGGAGAGACTGCCACAGGCTCCTAGGGCCTTGGATCAGTGACACGGACTTTTATAGCCTGCTGGGAACAGATACTTTGGCTGACTGTCCTGCAGGACTCTGCCCCCTCCAAGGCCAAAAGTGTCCTCACTATATTCCCAGCTTTCTCTGCATCTTAAAGCACATTCTTGATTTAGCCTAGTGACTAGGCAGCAGCCTTGTACCAAGCCTGGATCAGACCCATCTGAGCCTGCTTTCTGGTTCTCTTTCTTAATAGTTCTCTGACCTTGGGGAATATATTTATCCTTCTGAGCCTCAGTTTCCTTATCTACAAACTGCACATTCATGACTTTATTTGATCCTCACAACAACTTTATGAGCTAGAGGCCATTACCATTCTACAGAGGACAAAATTGAGGCCCCAAGGGACTAACTACATGGCCCAAGAGAGCTAGTAGATGCCAGAGCATGAATTCAAACCTAGTCCTTCTGATTTGGAGTTTCACCCTGTGTCCAACCTGCTCAAGCCCCAAAATATTTCCTATAAAATAATAAATCATTGTAACTGTTCTATATTAACTCTGAATATTTCTTTCACCATTCTGAAGTTCATTCAATCCATGGCAACGTGTTCATAAGTAATTAAATTTTAACTAAATGGCATTTAACTGAATATTTAGAGTAGGAAAAGTGCATGTGTCAAACAGACAAATTTATGATTCATTAAAACTGCACTTTCTTGCCTTTTGATTTAAAAATGCCCTTAGCCAGGTAAATAAATCCTTACATTAGTTTCAGTTTTCACTTCAAACAAAATGAACTATATTTGCCAATTTCATTTTTTTGAAATGAAACAAATACCCAGCTCTCAAATAAGCGTGACATTGGCAGACCAGATTATTTTAACTAACAAATTTACCAATGACTGGGTTTTTTTTTTAAACCAAGAAAGCGAAAGACACCAGGTAAGAGGTTATAAAACACCCTAAAAAAGGTTTCTTAAAACAGCCTACCTTGACTCTGTCACTGGGTAAATGGCTGGGAAGGGGTTGGGGTACATGGATTTGTGATTACATGCCCTCCTTTCAAGGTGGAGAACCACGGTCACAGATAAACAGTAAACTGGAGTGAAAAGCAAATTTTCATCTCTATCCTCAGTGAGTCTTTTACTAGACCTACTAACAACTTGAAAACAGCTTTAAGCTTCACATCCTGTAGAGGAGTGGGTATGAATAAAATACCAAAAGTGGGAAGGAAAGTAGGGAGAGACGCAACAAGAGAAAAACATTTTTCACCATTTGAACAGCCCAGACACCTGTGGGCACTGGCACATATGACAAGCATACAGCATCATCACACGGTATCGAGAACACATTTGCAAAGAGGACAGCAAAACAACCCAGGCGAGCTTTGAACTTCAGAGTTAGAGGAATGGCGAAACACGTGGAAGGCTGAACTGTAGAGCAAACACTACAGAGGACAGCAGGTAAGGCGTGGAAGTATGTATTATAGTCGAGATGGTTCCTGGGAGCTACTAAAGGCAAGAAACAAATAAATTAGTTTTCAATCGAAATTCTTGAAATAACAGCTTATCCCCAAAAAGAGAGGACAGGAGAGAGATCCAAAGAAAATGTCTATCTACACAGTAAACTTGTGGGCACAGATGCACCAAAGATGGAGACAGGGCCGCAAGGCATGAAAGCTCAGGAAAAGGGACAAGAGGTATAGAAAGAGGTGACTTTTGAAGCTGTGCTCAGGGCAGGGCAGTGAACACGGAGTGAGCTGATGCAGAGAAAGCTGCCAGAGATGGCTCACGCTGGTTTAAACTTCTATTTTGCTTTTGCTTTCAGGTTCTTCAAGGAAGATAGGGCAAGGTGGAGAATATAAGATATACCAAGAATTTACTTTGGGCCACCAAGCATCTTTGGCATTGTCCTCACACATCCTAATTCAACAAGAGGGAACTGGGATTTATGAGTTGGGCAAGCAACCAAAGGCTACACTGCCTTGAGCCCCAGGGGGACTGACTCCAAGGGCTGCTCTTCCTGCCATTGGTCCTCCAAGTAAGAGTAAAGGTAAGGGCGAGCGAATTACAGAGCAATCACACAGTGATTGATCTCTACATGGTGAGTTACGCTCCCATGATAAGAATTACATAGGATGGGGCCACCTGGGTGGCTCAGTTGGTGAAGCATCTGCCTTTGCTCAGGTCATGATCTTAGGGTTCTGGGATGGAGCCCCACATTGGGCTCCCTGCTCAGTGGGGAGTCTGCTTCTCCCTCTTCCCTCTGCTGCTCCCCCTGCTTGTTCTCTCTCTCTCTCTCAAATAAATATTTTTTAAAAAAGAATTACACAGGATAACATGTAAACACTTCACTCAGCAAACACACGAAGTGTTTATTATGTACCTACTCATGGGCTAGGCCTGGAGATAC